CGTTAATGACTTGCTCAGGGTCATTTCATGTCTGATGGCGCTGAGGTTCGAACATAGTACCTTGAGGGTACGTGTACAACTTAACCACACAGCCATGATGAGGTACACCACCTGCAGGCGATGGTTTAGCTTGATTTTTCATAGCAAAAAGTGCTCTCTTTTCAACGTTAGAAACCGCATTGTTTTATCTGTTTCCAATAAAGCGTTATTCAATACTTGAGAGACTCTAGTGTATTTTGAAATCGATGGTAATATATTCAAAAACAGTTCCTAATTTGCTTTATATTTTGAAAAAAAATTGTTCTTTATAGTCAGCTAGTTTGCGAAGTCATTTCCACGGTTTGTGAAGAGGTGAGAACAAATAAAGTTCTCTATATATAGCTGAAGGTGAAATACATAAAAGAAGCTGGCCGATGTCTTTCGGAAGTTGGTTGAAGTGGGACCCGAGAAAGTAACAAATAAAGGGAAATCATCTGCTGCCTACAATGGCTTTGGAATTACGTTGACAGGCCATATTTATAAAGAACTTTTACATAATGGATGATTTTCCATGTTATTTTGATTGAGCTCTGCCGCTGTTTTGGGCAATTCCCCCAGCAAATCTTTTGCTTGTTCTTCTGTAAGATCCATTGCCAACAATGTTTTTATTTTTTTGTAATATCCGTGGGCTCTTTCGACATCATCTGGTGTTTGTTCAATTAAGGTCGATGACTGCTTTTGATTCAATAGTGACCAAAATCTGGCTGTGAACAGACTTTTCGATTTCAATTGTTTCACCAAAGTTTTTCCTACTACCATTCCGCCCCTGGTCGGTAATTGGCCAACTCCACCATTTCTTCCAATAGTCAGAAACATAGCGGGATTTTGGGCTGGTTGATACTCGTTGAACGCTTTATTGTTGTGCATGGCTTCAATCACTGATGCTACATAGTCACCTTGTTTCATGGCATAAAAAGCCATTTTTTCTTCTTTACTGCTTATGTCCCCGATAACGAATATATGGGGATAGTTTTCGATTTGCAAATAGTTGTTCACATCTATTCGTCCATCAGGGCTGAAGTGGGATCGAAACGCGTCTAGACTCTTGTTATTCATTTTGGTTCCCGTACACATAAACAGAAGATCGGCTGTAAGTTTTGTCTGTTTATCGGTTCTAAGGGTATTTATCCCTTCGAGATATTTGGTGTCCTTAAGTCTGAATTGTTGCGAAATTCTCTCTGTGTCGAGACGTTCGTTAAACAGTATTCTGACACCAAGCGATTCCAATTGTTCTCTTGCTGCTACGTAGAATTTGGGATTAAATAAGTTTTGTTCACATAGTGTACTATTCGCATGAACCACTGTTACTTGCTTGTTCCTGAACTCGGTAGCTATTTCGCCAGCTAATTCACACCCGACCGAGCCACCACCCACAATAACAATCCGTTTTGCTTGTTCGATTTTGTTACGTACCTCGTCATATTTTGGTAGAACATCATATTGATTAATTTCGGCGTCTTTAGCTGGAAAAGAATAAGTTGTACCTGTCGCTATAATTAAGTAGTCAAATAAAAGCGACGTTGAACGACCGTAGATTTCAATGCGATTTGCAGTAACTTTGGTTACTTCTGCTTGAATGACGCATCCTTTTGAATAAAAATTTGAAATGCAATTTCTAACTCTGCGGCACTAAAGTATCAAGTTTACGTTACCGTTGGTCAACAATTTGTCATACGGTATCAGGATTTGTTTTGCATAATCTTTTTCCACTGATGCACGTAAGGCAGCAATATTGTGAAGGAAATAAGATTTTCGATCGATAAGTATGACACAAAATTGATTCGTTTTATCCAAACGTTTAGCGACTTCTACTCCACCGTAACCACCGCCAACCACAATCACTGTCTTTTTTTTACGGTTGGTATTTGGGTGAGAAATAGGGACTCCCATATAAAATGAAGTCCGGAAGCACTAATCTAATAAATAGGAACTTTGAAGAATAACAGTTATGTTGCACAAAAAAGTCGCATTTGAAGGTTTAAATTCGTGTTTTAATACTTGGTTGAGAGAATATAGATATCCAGATGGTTGGAAAATAGCCAAGTTCGTTATACTAAATAAATTAAAAGCAGGAACACCTACATGTGATCAGATTCGGCCGATATCCTTGTTAGCTACACATTCAAAAATTTTTGAGAAGATCGTTTTAGAAAGAGTGAAAAATTGGGCAGATGCAAATCACATTATTCCGGACGAACAATCAGGTTTTAGGCCGAACTGTTTACTGCCTACTCGAGTATTATCAATATTTCAAGAAGTCGAGAATAATTTCGCTGCTAATATTCCCACGTTAGCTATATACGTGGATTATCAAAAAGCCTATGACAATGTATGGCATATGGCTCTTATTGTAAAACTATTTAGGTTAGAAATGCCTTTAGGGCTGTTAGAAATTGTTCATTCCTGGTTAAGCGATAGAAAAGCGGATGTTATCGTAGGCGACATGAGATCTAAGGCTTTTCATTTATACACAGGGTTGCCACAGGGCAGTAGTTTGAGTCCGTTTCTATTCATTGTTTTTCATAGCGATTTGATCTCTTGTATAGGCGCGCATGCAAGACATGTTTTTGCCGATGATCTGAATGTCTTAATAACTCCACCGACAAATAAGAAATTAAAACCAATGTTAGAATATTTAGAAAAAGAAGGAACAAAAGTGTGTAATGAGTTAGCGCACTATTCCAAACGTTGGAAACAGCCAATAAATGTCGCAAAAACAGTAATACAACTTTTCATACACAGGTCACACGTCCTCACATAAATATTTTTATGAATAATAAACGATTAGAACAAGTTAAAGCCTTCAAGTATTTAGGTTTCACTTGGACAGAAAAATGATCACTGGGATATATCGTAAACAATTGTTTAGAAAATGTACAAAGATCCTATGGGAAACTCAAGCGGTTAAAAAATAACGGGGAAGTGTCCACTGATGTACTGCGGCTTTGCTTCTTTGCATACTCATTTCCGTATTTCGCTTGGATGTTTCCGTTTTTTCCTTTCCTTCCTCAGTCACAGAAAGATTTATTTCTTAGAAAATTCAGAGTCGGTATTCGCCTTATTTACCGATGCCATTTCGTTTCCAGTAAAAATCTATTCTCATCTACAAAAGAAAATGATCTAATGTTTTATGTAAAAAAATATTTAAAGAAAAGGCTGAATAGTATGTATAAATCTGACCTCGTTTTCTCACTTTTCGATAATGATGTTTTTTATTGGGACAATTTTAAAAAGAGAAAAAAAGATGGAATGGGCCACTTTTTTCAGCAAAAACGAGTAAAAAATAAAATTGAAAAACATGAATCATTACTGCTGAAATGGCTGAACTTTATTGGATGAAGATAAATTTTTTCTTTTCCTTGCTGTTCCCTCGTGTTTATTTTTCTCTAAATTTATCCCTGTAAACCGTTCTACTACATATGTTAATGATGTCCTCTGCTGGTGAGAAAAGAAAGTGTTTTTTTATATTTTATTAGTTTTATGTAACTAAAATGTTGTAATGGATTCAACTATATCTTTTTTCTTTGGTTCCTTTTGTTTGCAAGCGCTTCCAAGTGTGGCAATAAAGTATAATCAAAAGAAAAAAAAGTCGCATCAGCTTCCTTCGTAAGGCAACACCATTAATACATTACGTCAAAGTATGACTCATTTGAACGACGTATTCAATGCTATTCAGAAAACTGGGCGAATTATGTTTAACGTGTTTCTGTTGTTTAACCCTTTGTTTACCATTGCTCGACCATGATAGCGGGACTTCTAAATTTGTATGATCATTGTCCTCATCGAATGCTGATCATCCACAAAGTTTAGGCTTCTTTTCCTAGATGGTTCGTGAGATGTAAGGGTCTCATTTCTTTCTTGTAAAATACTAATTCTGACTCAAGAGAGGTGAAAACTTTTTCGTTTCACCAAAGTGTAGCCCCGACTCTCTTCCGTCTATGGTATGAATTTGAAACGCTCGTATTCATATTGAGCTCGTAATCGTTACTAAAATACAGCTATTTTACGACTGAGGGTCACTTTTGAAGTTTGAGTCACTCTTCCAAAAAAATTCATAACTCAATCTAGAAATATTATCTCTACTTCAAAAATGCACCAGATACTCTAAAATGTTTTTAGATAGTTCACACAAAGTATAAGGCTAACTATTGTATGGTTCGAGAAATTCATTGAAAATGAGCATCCACCATGGTTCGTACCACTATTGAAACATACATAGGAAGGCAAGAGTGAGCAACCAAGGGTCGTCCATTCTACCATAACTTCTGTGATTAATGTCCGTCATAATTATGTAAAAATATAGTAATAAACCGTTTGGGGAAAAATATCCATAGGTAAAATATTGTCAAAAAGACTTCGCACTTACATCCTAATCCTAAGTCATTTCATTTATTTTGCGTCTTTCTCACTTTCCATGTACTTGCAGGCAAAATTAAAAACATATTAGAGATCAGTAGACAAAACTGCATCGTCACATGTTCATATATTTCTGCGTTCGAGAGTTATTCGAAAATCAGAAAACTTAAAAAAAGCGTCCTGAATTGGGACGGTGGTAAACAAAGAGTTAAAAAAAGTTGATTGTGCAAAATGTCTGGGTAAAATTAAAATGCTCAGAGAAGCAGCGATTATGAACAGGGCTTCATCCAATACTTTGGTTAAAAAGGAAGATATTAAACGCCTTTCCAAAACTTTTCTCTCGAAGTGATCGCCAACAAGTTGTAAATAATATTAATATATCAAAAAGCTCTTCATTATTAAATGTTTTTTCAGAATTATTAAAGTCTGCTAGTGTTCGACAGAACTTTATTTTAATAATCCTTTGGCACAGAACATGCTTATCAATTTTCAAGTATCGTAATTCACGTTTACCCGCTTGTCATCTCACGCGGAAAATGAGAAACTTTCTCACATGGTACATTTACTTATAAGCATCATCTGCATCAGAGTGCAGAAAAACAAACCATATTCTCACAAGAATTCTTATATGTTTTGTTTTTTACAAGAATTTTTTTGCGGAATCCATTGATGAATACTAAACTATTATATACTCTTTGCACATCAACTTTTTTTCTACTCCGGAAGCTATGATTAATACTTACATAATCCAAGAAGGTATTATATATAAGCTTTTTTTAATAACACAATGGCTCTTTCTTCAACAACGATCGGCTTGAAAGACGGTGTGAATTATACATCTAAAAGTAACTAATGTTCTCGTGAAGAACAATTATATGGATGGACGAACTTCATCAACAAGAATTTTGTTAACAGTGCTATAAAGAACTTTGCCAAGATGTCGGCAAAGTTCTTTTTTTGTCAATATTTTACTTAATAAAAAAAACTACTTTGCTAGCATAATTAATTAGGTTATTGACAAAGTACTTTTTAAAAAGTACATTGTTGACAAAGTTCCGTGTCTCAGATGTCTTTTTAAGTACATACCGTGACAGATGCAATTTTTTTTTCCTTTATCTTTTTTCTTCATAACAAGTTGCATGTTTTTTTACTGTTTTGTCTGTCTATTTTGAAAATAGACAGATAAAAAATGATCGACGGAAAGAATAGAGAGAAATAAGATAATTCTCACTTTATCATACTATCACTTCCTGATTCATATTTTTACTTTTATCTTCTTTTATTCAATTCGATATTTGTGTATTTGTGAAATATATTTTTTCTACGCGTAATGATAGATGATTTCTTTACTTTTCTTGTTCTGTTTTCTTAGTTAGCCCTTTGTTCTTATTACGAAACAATAAATTTCAAACAAAAAAAGTACAAGTCCCGAATTTTAATAAAAAAAAAGGAAACTTGAAGATCAAAAATTGTGTTCACAGGAGAGAGAAAATTAGTAGAGCCAACAATGATAAATCGCTGTTACTTTGACTGTTTGAAATAGAACTTTGCCAACATTTATTGACAAAGTTCTTTTTTAAATTTATTTTTAATTACTAATTAATTAAAGTACTTTTTGAAAAAGAACTTTGCCAATAAACCGAAAATTCTTGTTGGCAAAGTTCCGCAACCCAACTATACAGAATAAATACTAAATTTTAAGTAAGATTTCACACGCCAGCTACATCAGAAACCTGTTTCCATAAATACTGAACCGATCAACACAAATTCAATCAGAAAAGTGTGTGGTGTTGATTGGTAATACATTAAAGCAATTGAAATACATAGAAAAGAGTTTAGAGAAATGGAAGCTTTGAATAATACTCGCAGTCTCAAACGTGGGTAAATTTGCTCTTATGACAAAAGAGTTTAAGAGAATTTCTCATAGCAAAAGTTAACCGAGTCCACTGTGTTGAATCCGATAGTAATTGTTATATTTCCAAATAATAATTCTTTTATTTTCGTCAACGTTAGCGTTCATATCAACTACATTTATATTCACTCAAATGTATACATGCTTAGACTAGAAACGTTCAGATTGATGGACCAGTATTAGAAGGATTACTAGACAAGGCTGAGACCATTATAATCAAATCAAATGGCGTCTACTTCCACTAGTGAATTTCTCTGGACCTTTTCTCTTAGTAAGGCAACCTGGAAAAAAGTTCCTGTGTTAGAAATGATGGTAATCGACGATCTGTCAAATTTATAATTTTCATAAAAAACATACATCATTTGAAAAAAGTAGGTTAATTGGTACATTAATGTACTGTTACCCCATCAAGAAGAGAAGTCACGCGAGGTTTGAGCATGCTTGTGCATAATATAGTCAGATGCTATCATGTAGCTTCTCCATTATATTCAGGATCTATAAACCAATGTTAAAAAGAAAAATATTAAACGATTAATATTAAAACTCAATTAGATAACTTTTCATCTTATTTAAATATTCTTCCTTTATTTTAAAATAATTAAATATTTTTCTTTAAGAAAATTTTTATTTTCCGTTAAAAGTCATGTGCAGGGGTTCTGTCAGCAGCGCACAGTGTGCATCCCGGCCGGCTTTTGGTGAAAAAATGAAAACTGATTTTTCAGTGATTTTAATGGTGATAAATATACTTTAAAACATGCTCTATTTAATAGCAAAAACATTTTTGTCCTAAAACTTATTTGAGCTGGGAAAATCCTATATACAAGAATACACAAAAAATACGTGCCTATCGGAAAATCAGATTATTCGTAAATATACGCAAAAATCAAACATAGCTAGTAGACAAACATATATTCAGAATCGGCATGAAGTGCGCTATCGATTGGTAAAAAATTTCTATTTTAGGAGAAAAAGAGAAGACATTTTTCTAGCGTATTTTCCGAGGAGGTGTGTTTGATACAATGCGTGCGCGAACTTTAGCGAAGCTCTAAAATTGATGAATGTTGTCCTATATATGCCCACACAGTTAGCGCCGATGCTCCTGGATCGGACGGTAGGTTTTCCAAAAAACCCTCGGTTTTTAAAGTCATTTCTATTTTTTTCAGGCTAGAATCATTCAAAATTCGATAAAAAGACCGTATTTGGAATCAGCGCAAGAAACTGCCTCGAATGATGTGCGATTAGTAGGTTTTTCTGAGAAAAACATTTGTTGGATCTGACAAAACGCTAAAGTCGAAGCATAGCGTGACAATTTTGACTAAGGATTTTGATATTTGCTATAGAAGCAATCCGAAAGCCTGCAAACACTTTTTCAAAGGTTTTCAGATATGCTCTTTCCAATGATGTGCTTTATAACGTTCCAGGATACTTATGTGTAGGTTTTCTGGAGACCCGGTCTCTGGCGAACTCGGATGAAAACCTATTTGAACTTTGTA